CCCCGGTCTCTTTTTCTTTTTTCCTCCCCCGAGCTCAGCCGCCTCCGCTAAGAGCGCGCCCCGAGCCGGTCTCGGAGGCCGTCCTGCCCGGGGCTCCCTGCGTTCGCGGGGACATGCGGCTTTGAGGAGGGAGCCTCACGCCAGCCTCAAGCGTCTTCTGTGGAGCGGCGGACATGGGCCCTCCGCGGCCGGGGGGAGCTCCCCTCGCCCCTCTCCTCCCAGCCCTCGTCCCAGTGAGATCGGCGGGCGCGGACCGTGCCCAGGATCTATCGGGATCGGACCCGTCTAGCTTAGAGTGGGGCAGGTGATGGTCCTTCCCTTGCTGAGGTGCCGGCCTCGCCTCTTGCAGCTGCCTGGAGTTTCTTCTCGTTGAGACAAGAGTTGTAGCTGAGGGAGCACAAGGGCAGAACAGCGTGCTCCGAGCCACAGGAGAGGGACAGAAGGGACTGCCAGGAAGATCTTCATCCCTGCAGCACTGCTGCTAGAGTTAGAGAGAAACCTGCTGCCTCTCCTCTCTCTCTCTTTTGATCTGGAGAGGAGAGGTGAGTTGTTGTCTTTCCCTCTTGTCGTACTGTAGCAGTGGAGAAAATAGGCTAGCTTGCCAGCTGCAGAACTTGTTCAGGATGGCTTCAAGCCCCAGCTGACTACTTGGTTTATTTTGAGAGTCAGCCCTGTGAAAAGGCCCACTGATGGAGAAAGAGATTAGCACCGTGTTAACTGCGCGGTTCTCTCTCCTTTGCTGCAGTGCCCACTTTCACCGCTGTCTCCTGCTCTGCCTGCTCCTGCTTTCAGCATGGTAAAGAAGAATACTATCCCCGATGGGTAAGTATCCCTCACACTAAGCAAGAGGCAGGAGCGGGCACAGTCCTGCCCACAGAGAAGGGGCGCTGACTGCCCCAGGCGCTTTCTTGCCACAAGCATCTTCACCACCTACAGCCAGGTAAGGTAGGTATCTTCTCCAAGACAGGAACAATCCAGCCCTTCATCCCCCAGGTGAGTATAATGCTCCAGCCTGTCTGTGAACACTTCTTCATCAGCCAAACACAGTCCCTTCTTCCTAACCTTCTTACGCCCAGGTGTATACTTACTGGGGAAATAGGAGAGTAGTCCATCCTTCTGACTACCCAGATGTTTGCTACTAGGAGTTGGGAAAGAGCTGATAAGATGGGAGCAGGTGGTTGCATGCATGTGATCAAGGAATATTTTCATGGCTTCAGGTCCAGAAACATCCTGTGGTTGTTTTTCACAAGAGGACAACAAAAAGGTTTTATCAGCAAAAATAATAATTAAAAAAACCCAAATGTACTCTACAGGCTTTCTTATGACTTGATTGGGAGTGCATATAGTGACCACAGAATGATCTCATTTAAAACAGATACAGTTCTATTCTCCAGCTCTACTGAAGAAAAAAAAAAAAAAGGGAAATCCAAGTTTAAAAGTTTAGCCCATGAGTTAGCTGACATCAGTACAAGCTTCTTGGATTGGAGGGTGTGCTTAGATATAAAGGCACACTGTACTGGGACAATAACTTGCAGTTTATACATTATTTGAGGAAAGGGTCATCCTTTATCCTGAAACCATTATCCTGGTTTCAGGGGAAGTGTTAAATACGTTTATGAAGAAAATTCTTAGGAAGAGTAATAAAATACAAAAAGCATGATTTCTTGCAAAATACGTTGGCCTAAAAGCAATAAATAGAAACAAAAGGTGAACAAAATTTAAAAAATAACTTCAAGAAACTTCAAAGTTTTTCAATAGCTGACAAACTCAGGGATTAAAATTAGAATAAAATTTAAGAAAATCTAATTAAGCATGTCTTTCTCTGAAAGTTTCTATGAAATTTCAGTTAAAAGTTGGACAAAATTGAGCTAAAGTGGGTTAGGTTTGCAAGCAGTAATGCAGAAAGCCTGAAAGAATAACTGTCCTTATTTTCTCCATACTTGAGAATTATTGCTAAAACTGAATTGGATGCTCATTTCTCCCTTCTTTTCCCCCCTTGCATTTGAACTGGAGCATCTTTCAGGCTACCTGCATTTCTTCTCTTAAGTATGGAAGAAGCAGTGGACTGTACTTTCGGCTTCTGTGATTGGAAGCTTATAACGGTGTGTCTTTCAAGGAGAGAAACATCTACTGTGGAGTAATTAGTTATAAAGTTAGTGTTACCACCTGACAAAGCTCACGATACTGAAGTGCTTTGAGCTTCTGCAGATACTTACTTTTTGGTACTATTAACAAATCAGACTAGACATCCACAGTTACTGAGTTTTTGGCAGTAAAGGAGTTTAAGGAATTGTCAGACTCCCAATCTCATGCAGCAGTATATTGATGTCATCCTTGTGCTAGCACAGCATGTTGTAGTTCTTCACTGTGAATTATTTTAGTACACCAGGAAAAAAAACAAACAGTGAACCCTGGGAGAGGACTTAAGGAAATCTAATTTTAGCCTAGGGGATCCTGCACGTGCAATTTACTTGCCCCAGAAATAGTTGTTAGCAGAAGTGAGATTGTGGTAGACTATAGCATAAGGAGCAGTCCAGACGGTAGCGTACTATGGAAGTACAACCTCAATCATATCACAGTATTGTAATAGCAATAAATCTAACAGTAACTGGTTTGTTTTTAATGATAATGCAAGAGAAACACTGTAGTAGATAAACAAAAGAAGTCACACTACATACAGACATTTTTTAAGATTGTCTTTCTGTTACTGCCTCAATTCTTTATACAGTTCTTAACAGTTTTAATCCAAATTCCATTATGCTAATTAAAGCAATAACTTGATAATAATAATAAATAATTAATAAACTGGAGGTTTCGGTTAAGTTATAAGTAGCTAGGAATAGTGCAACTAAACAAGAAATGCTGATTTTTTTTTTTAACTGGTCAGCTAATTACTATCGTCTTTTACAGTACCGTGTCTGCAGTGTAATTAAAGTTGCCTTTATATAAGGGTTGTGCTATAGCACTGCGCAGCTGTGCTAGATACCAGCACTTTGAGTGTACTCAGCACATAAAGTAATATTCAAGTGGTATTAATTGCCAGTGTTGCCGCTGGATCTGCACTGCCAGTCTTGTACCTTGTTCCTCTTGGCCCACTCTTGTTCTTGTGTCTGTTGCTCAGCCCTATCCCTGAATGTTTGATCTGATGCTATTTGCACAGTCTTTGCTCCAGCAGTGAGAGGAGGAGGTGGGCTGGAAGTAAGACTTCCTGTATTTCTTCATAGCGAAAATCATTTCTCCCTTTTTCCAGTAATGTCTTGGAGCAGAGCTAAGGTGTGCAGTGTCCATTGCAGTCTTAATCCTAGAAAGTAGTGCTGGAGAAGTAATTTTGTAACAAAGTGAGATGTCAGTATGAGAGCGGGATTCAAGTGACCCCTTGCAATGCAGTTTCCACCATGTAGTCAAGTTCTGCTTCTTCAGTGTCTGAAACGCTATTGTCCTTCAGTAGTTGTATACTGTACTATTTTAGTGGAGAACCAGCCAGTAAAAGGAGTTCAAGTCACATAACAATCATAAAATTTTATGATGTTTTTACAGATATACATGTTTGTGCATCAGCATCCAAAATCCTACTGTGGGTATAATTTCATAAACTCAGGTTCAGTTCTGAAAAGCATCTGCAGAAATGTCACCTTCTTGCATGTTTCCATTAAATGGTATAAAAAACTACCAGGAGTGGGATCCTTTTATTGTAAGGACAAACCCAAATTATTTCTGCCTATGCACCATAAACATACTTGTTTAACTTGTTTCTGTGCAGACTTAAAAGTGTCAGCATTTAGACATTAGCATTTAGACAGGAATGTTGAAGTCTATGGCATAACTGATTGTGCATGTTCCAGGGTGGATGGGAGAGAAGGGTTACCATAAAGTGAGAGTTTATTTGTAAAGTAAAAGTGCTTCATACCATCAGGAATAGAACGTTTGCATTTAAAAATGTGGGATGGAGAGAAATTACTTCTTATAATACCTGAGTAATGATAACATTGCTATAGGACTTGAAGGCCTGTATTTTCTGTTACAATACACCACCACAAGTGCAAAGCTATGCAGTTACTTGTTGACATCTTAAGGAAGCTCTTCTCCCATGCTGTACCTCCACACTATTTTTTTACAAACTATGACTTACTTGTATCCCACTTGCAGGGGTTGAAGAAAAGCAAAGTGAGAAATCTATGTAGTAACAGGTGATTAAGAGCTTTATCACCTCCGTTCCGCTTTGGACCTGTTCAGTATGTGTTCTGCCTTGACAGTGTGTCAAGGTCTTTGTAGGGCTATCTTTTCTTCAGCAGAACAGTATTGAATCTGGTGTCCATGGAGGTATGGAAGCCACTTGGGAAATAAAGCTGTGTCTATATCATGCAGTACCAGTAGCCAAAAAAAAGGAGGAGAGTTTCCAAGTAGTATTTTCTAAATGATCTTGCTACAGCTGACAGTATTTCAGAGTTGAGCTTCTCTATGGTTACAATAATTATCCTTTTTTGAGTGTTCTGGAATTCACTTTCCCAGGTAAGTTCTAAACTTGTAACTGCTTCATAATCATAGATGTTCATGAGCGGCTCCAGAATTGTAGAAACACTTGAATTGTTAAGCATAGCTTCAGATATTGCTCTGTGAACTTACTTCTCCACCCACTGTAGCTTTTGAGTAATGTATACCTATTTACACTGGTTTACTAACACTAATTTTTAACTATTCAATGAAAATCATTCTGAATTGATGCCTTGAGTTCAGTACTAGTTTCTCTTACTCTGGAATACTGGAACACGTTATTGCTGAACTGAATGTTACACATGGAAATGTAAGATAAGAGAGCTTACTTCCTTTTATACTTAAGGTTTTTTTCCTGTCAGAAAAATACCATAATTACTCTGTAGAGGTATTACAGTATAGAGATTTTATTCTGTTTGTTTTTAGCATATGCTAGTGTAAACATCAGTTTCATAGGTGATCTAAAGTGGCTTTAAGCTTAAGAAAAGACCAACACATTTGAACTGTTTTGCCATAAAGAACTAACTTGTAGGGTATCTGTTGACAGTTTGCTGTGCTCTATATTTTTATATAACTCTGTCACTGAGATCTGACAAACTAAAGACATGAAACTTTCAAATTATTTCCAATTCAGCGTTTCCATCGTATTGTACCTATGAATCATTTAGTAGCTTTCATGTCGAGCTTGCCATTACAAATGTACATAATATCTTTATATGAAATATATTTTTTCTCCTTTAAAAAAATCACAGAAAAAAAATAGTAAGGTATCAGTCTGTTTAAATGATTGGGTATGAATTACATACAGCTGCA